AGTTGGGAGTTGGATTTGCAAGTGAGTGTCGGACGGTTAGCGGTAGTTCAGCATTAGCATATATCATTAGCATATTATAGTCTTTAGCATAGCTATTAGTGTTATAAATACTTATTTAGTGTCAGCTTGGCTGTTAGATATTGTAGTTTAGTTAGTGTTTGGCTTTTAGTGTTACTAGGAAAGTAGTTCGGGTTTAGTGCTCTATATAGTGTTAGTACTTATTTAGTGTCAGCTTGGCTGTTAGATATTGTAGTTTAGTTAGTGTTTAGCTGTTAGTTTTATTAGGAAAATAATTCGGGTTTAGTGTTCCATATAGTGTTAGTATGGTTAAAAGGTGTAGTGTAGTTGGTTGTGGTAGCTCTGTGGGGTTGCACTCCTTTCCACTGGACTTAGAAATTAGGCGCCAGTGGTTGCGCGCAATCGGTGTACAGGATAACAGTCAGCTCCCGCCTGCTGCTGTAGTCTGCAACCAGCATTTTACCCGCGATTCCTTCGCCAACATGATGGAGTTTGAACTGGGTTATTCTGCACGTCTCCGTTTGAAGAGTGAGGCCGTGCCCACCGTGGCTCTTCCACGAATTAGATGCAGCCCACCGACTCTGCTCCCCCACCATGGCGGGCTCCAGTCTGAGGTGAGTAAGCTAAATAAACGTTTTAACATCTTCTAAAGACAATTCCCTACCTAAATGCAAAGTTTGAGAGACGTGGTTCACTCCATTTAGCTAATATCAGCCTGCACTGCCTTCGGGCTAAATTGTCAAGTTCACAAAATGTGGAACGGGATGTAAGGTTAGAATCAGCGGCGAATCGGAACATTTCTCGAAGCCCTGGCCGACAAAAAGGTCCACATGACTATTTCTGTCAGGCTCGGAGAAAATCCGGGTTGTTTTTGTGTCAGTCGGTAATTCAGCAACAGTGGCTCTAACGCAGCACTAGTTGACAGACATCATTACAGCGTGAAATCCAGCTTTACACCAAAGCCTAACCCGGTTCTGTGAGGAATTCTGTTCAGGAGGTCGCATTTCAGGTTCTTCACATCATATGTGACTGACTTTTACGTTATAATAACGATCACACACTAGGAATGTCATAAAGCGCCTATATATATATATATATATATATATATATATATATATATATATATATATATATATATATATTTCAGACAGTTTCTTTTGTATATTATCTGACTTTATAAACAACAACAACAATGTGCTTCTATTTTTTTTTTTCAGGCTAAATCTACCCAAGACGTTGGCTGTCAGACTGATTTAGTAATCTGCAAAAATGCACTTGTCCAGGCTCATGTAAAGCCTTATCGACGTAGCAAAGGTGAATTATTTTTAATAATCTTCTATGTAAACATTTTATTATTACCTTCTAGTTTTAATTTGTTTTACAGATTATTGTTACACGTGATTTTATGCTCTTTTAAACATTTATAAATGTGCTGCTTCTTTGTATTTTACATAGCCACACAGTTTAGAGCTCCCAGCCGCAGTGTGTCTTGTGACACAGGGACCATGATGGAGATTCATCTTCCACAAAGTCCCAGAGCTGCGTCCACACCCCTGAAAAGACCACGATATGAGGTGTCTGTTGTTGATCCCAGCTTCCACCTCAATGACAGTGCAAGCTCAGTGAACTGTTCAAGGTAAAAAAAAAATTATAACATTTTAGAATTTTTTAGATATGACCATATATATAAATGTATGTGTTCTATACAGCTCTTTCACTGAGGTCCATCCACAAAAGGACAAGAAGTACATTGTTCATGAGAAACAGTTGCTGGGGCTGTTCAGAAGGTGTCCCGTTTGTACCGGTCGTTGTGTTGTGAACACGACAACAGTCGGCACACTGCTCCGTGTGACACAACGGTGTTCATGCTGTGAGCACTACAATGAGTGGTCCAGTCAGCCCATGGTGAACAGCATCCCAGCAGGAAACCTCCAGCTCTGTGCTGCTGTCCTTTTCACAGGATCATCATTTAGCCAGATTTCTAAGGTATAGGCCAAAACTGTTTAGGTTGTTTTTGATAAGGTCTGTGCGTCTCTCATTTCATGACGTAACTTTTCATATTTTAGTTCCTGGGTGCCTTCAATGTGCAGGGACTGTCCAAGCAGACATTCTGACGACATCAGGCAAAGCTGTTAATTCCAACAGTGGCAGCTAGAGCAAGCTGATATCATCCACTGAATCTGGACCTGTGACTCTTGGTGGTGACATGCGAGCTGATTCACCTGGTGAATACTTTTAAATTTATTTATTTTATTCCTTTGCTATCAAATGTAAATTAAGTAATAACTTGCATTTCTTGAAGGACACTCAGCCAAATATGGCAGCTACACCATGATGGATCTCAAAAGAAACAAAGTTATTGATATCCAACTTGTACAGGTACAACATTACCTGATGATTCCAATGCATTTCATGGTTAATTATTCACAGATCAATGGAGAATTATGTTTATTTTCAGAGCAATGAAGTTGGAAATAGTGTGCGAATGGAGAAGGAGGGATTTGTGAGAAGTCTGAGCACACTTTTGGAGAGGGGGGTCGATGTGCAGCAAGTCGTGACTGACCGCCACACATGGGTGCAGGAGTATTTGCGGGAGGAAAAAAAGGAAATCAGTCACTACTTTGACCCCTGGCACATGGGAAAAGGTAATCTTTGGGGATGTATATAGTGAATATTACAGGATTTTTTTTTTCTATTTTAAATGTGGGTCTGTTTGGCTCTCCAGGAATTGGTAAGAAAATCGAAGAGCTGGGGAAGAGAAAGACGACCCAGGATGTGAGACTGTGGACGCAAAGTGTGGTGAACCACCTCTACTGGTCGGCATCCAGTTCCTCCTCAGGACAGGAGGCAGTAGCAAAGTGGACTTCAGTTGCCAACCACATCCAAAATGTGCACAGCCATGACAACGCCCTGTTCCCTAGCTGTCTGCATGCACCTCTGGATGGAGAACAGGCAAGACAGTGGCTCAAACCAAGTAAGTGTAGCATGTACTCATTACAGCTGAGCCTTTAATGTTTGGTTTCTTTACATTTAGAACACGTCACACCACAACAGAATATTTGTCTTCACCTCCTTCAACATGGAGAAATATTTTTGGAGCATGAGAGTTACAGACGTCACATGTAGCTGCTAAGGTGACACACCACCATTTGGCCACCAGCAATTAATTACTAAGAATAAAATGCTGTGCAGAAATTTAAACACACGAGTGCGCCACACAACTCATGGTTTTAGGCAGAACAGCCATAATTGACATAATATGTACTAAAATGCCGTAAATAATGACCACACCTGTCTACAGCACTATTAGTCACTCTTTCATACATTTGTCATCTAAAAATGTCAGCTATGGGTAACTTTTTCTCAATGAAATAATAGCAACATTCTAAAGTTGATCAAATTGTAATTTTTGTAATTAACATTTTCTACGTAGGCACAGCATCATGTGAGAAGCTCACTGCCATTCTGTTAGCTCCACGGTTTGTGAAGGACGTAGAGAAGATAAGCCCTGTGTACCACACATCCACCTTGGAGGCTTTCCACAGCCTCATCATCAGATTTACTCCAAAAAGTCAGGTCTTCTCCTTCAAAGGAATGCTGTCTAGGTAATGAATACAACAAATGTTCAAATTAATGCCTCTAATTGTTCAAATTTTAGAATGAAATGTAGAATTTTGCCTAAAATCTACATGGTTTGTTTATTTGATTATTTCAGATTACAAATTGCTGCAATGCACTATAATGAAAATGCAGCACGCTCACATGCAGCAACAGCAACTGGTGAGCTGAGATATGCTGTAGTGTACCCAAAGTACAAACATGGAGACTACACAGTGAGAGCCCTGAAGACCAATCCAACCTCATGTATGTCAGATATTGTATGATAAAACCAAAATGATGTCATGGAGAGCTATTGTAATACTGAAAACCCTTTTCCAGTATATGTGCACAAGCTTATGGATCTGCTGTTCGACTCTGTGTTGGTGGATCCTCTCCCATATCAGGAGTACTCGGACAAAATTCCGGTTCCAGAACCGCTCTGTGCCCAGTTCCAAAGACCAGATAAACGGGATGCTGTGAGCAGGCACAGGTCCAGGTTTTAAAGTGCACATAAGGTGAGCTACACAACAAGAGATTGTAATTATTAGTTAGTACTCTACTCTGTGTGGTTTTTCCTTTTCTCCTCCTCAGCCAGGCTGCACACCACTGTACGACAGAGGAGTTACGTTACGTCATTATGGATCTTTATGCTCATCCACTCGTGACTCATGCTGTCCACCTCCCAGATGTCTATTGATCTCTACAACCTTTCTGCTCTGTGGCTCCCATACAACTTGAAAATCTTGGCCGTATGTAACATAGCAAAACTCACCAGTCTTGCTTTTGTAAGTCATACTAGTCATACTAATATTACTTTTTTCCTCAGAGCCTCCTGATATTGTTACAGAAAAGCCTGTGCTCCCGGGATCCATCTCCACGTTTGTCATCACAGTGAAAGCTACCTCCAGTCTAAGGAACCAAAGAAACATCACTGATGGCCCAACCTATCCTCACATGGCTCCAGAATCTCTGCTTGTGGTTTAGAGTTTTGTCAAAAATCATGAAAGTTATGATCAGATTGTAATCTAACGTTGTCTTAGTAGTAGCTATAATAAATGTTATCTTTAAAGCGCAATTGTGTCATTTTAAATACAATTATATTGATATTTTGATGTGTATAAATACATATATCACATTTATTATCATTCATTTTTACCTAATTGAACCTGCTCTAGAATAGACTTCATTAATCACACAGGGTGTAAACTCACTTGTTACAGCAGCATTAATTAACCCCGAATTAGAACCTTACTGTTGTAAGAGCTCATTTGAAAGTATGTGGCTATATGTGTGTATATATAAATAATGTCAAAGTGTAAAGAAGTGCATTTACCGTTTTGTGATTTATGCAGCTTTTTATGGACAGGAATCAATACAGGAAATATATATTATAACATTTATTTAATCCAAAAAATATATATTAGTTCAGAGGAGGGAGGAATCCTTTGTATGCACCGTCTTCTGGGAACTCCTGCCTTATTCTGGAGACAGCGCATGACGGGATCACAACACGAACGTGCTGTCCCAGGTAACCCCAACACCACCTGACCACATTCCGGTACGCCAGATGTCTGTAACAGCTGAGAAAGAGGTGGTATGAGTTACAAAGTATTCATAAAAAATTATTTTGACAGTTGTCTTACCTGTTGAGCGTAGTCTCCTGCATCTCCCCATAGAGTTGCAGAAAGGTGCCATAAACTGCCTGCAACACGTAGGGATTCAGAGCAACAGCCTCAAAACCAGGATGCTCTGTTATGCAGGAGGTTACACCCACCTGCTGACACCTGAGCATTACCTATGACAAAGAACAACTGATATCAGGGCTGTAAGAGTTCAATATTAGTATGATGTTAGTGATTGTGTAACAAATGTGTACATTACAGAATGCTTTTCTCATGGTGGGGTACTTTTATTTTTAAACCTTGGGCGTTTCTCTGCAGCACACATTTTCTCTGGCAGACAATGATGTGCAGTGGCCGCAGGTGCACCTGTTGAGGCAGACATACAATATTACTTTTAGCTAAGCTAAATATTGCTAGCTGTGGCTAAAAGCTACTTACCACTCAGAGACTGGACCCATTCGATGCCTTGATACTCCTGCTGGCTCGGCTCCAGGGGCCTCTGACAACTCACGAGCTAGTGGCTCAAAAATATACGGTTCAGGACCGCTTGCTTCCCCCAATAAGCCCTCCTCCCTATCCTCTGGGGAAGAAGGTGGGGAAAAGTCCTCCACCTCGAATGACTGCTCTGAGCTACTGTCGCTCTCCGTCGCCATCTGTATTCAAATTTCAGTATGTCAATCACGGTTGTAGCTCCGCCTTCTCGGTCTTACAGGAAACGCCTCTTTGGGCCGCATTTTTCAAATATGAAATGTGGGTGGAGTAAGACTCTGACAGGGGATTACCACTACTTTAATTACTATTCAAAAAATGAAAGTGATGGGGAAAAGGTCGATCATATTTTTTTAACCCTTTCTGTTTAGCCTGACGTCTGATATATATATATATATATATATATATATATATGTATATATATATATATATATATATATATATATATATATATATATATATATATATATATATATGTATATATATATATATATACATATATATATGTAGCCATGCCCTGATGTGGGGGCTGGGGGGCGCGTCGACATGGGACATAGAAGGGGGTGCGCGGCTAACTAAGTTTGGAAACCACTGATTTAGATGGTTGAATAGATACAGATACAGATAGTGGTGTACTCACTCATCCCAATCCAACACATCTCTGAAACGTTTATTATCAAACGTAGGGGTGAGAAACAGCATTAGAGAAATACATAAAATGGCATAGCATAATATATATAGTATACAGTATATGTGTGTTTCTTCCCCATATACGTACATGCGTAATTTCTCTTTCTTTCTTTGTTTATTTATTTTCCTTTTGACCGACCGAGTTCCTTTGTTTACTTCAACATCATTTTTTATGAGATGGAGTGATACTTTTACTTTGGGGACTGTATGTGAAACTCCTTCCCGTGTACCTCACTGGCCGGATCTTCTTTTTGTAGTTACCGTTTTGACTTGTGAGGCCGAGCTAATGAGTTTATGTGCGAATAACCGTCAAGTTTATAGATGTATGTATGCAGCTTGTTCAGTAATTACTAAGTTTGTAATATTAATGTTGCATGGTTGTGTATTTTGTGTTTTTCTGTTGATTACCTAGCTACTGGCAAGACACGGTTACTGCGCAGACACTTAGCTTAGTTAGCTTAACTTGTATGTAGCATGTGTGAATAAAACTGATAAAAGCAGATGCCAGTCGTCCGAGCTTGAGTACGACATGGTATCATGAGTAAACCACGCCCTTACGGTGGGAGTTAACTAAGTAAAAGTAGTTATTTAGTTAAAAACCGTATAGTAATCAACAGCCGAGCCAGCCCTGCGACGGAGAAGTGGAGGCGAGCCTGTGCCGACCACGGAGGATCCAGGAATTAGACGGAGCCGAATGGAGCGTGGTGGTTGTTTCACGAAACGAAGCGTGTTGGCAGCAGATAAGCCAGCTGCCGTAAACAAACTGTAACTTGCCGCTAATGACCGGGAGAGGGTCGCCGCATGCCCATTGCCGCCATCTTGCTGAGGTCAACATTCATTATGGCAAGCCTAGAAGAGTTAAAAAAAGACGTTCCTCCACTCAAGGTGTGTTTCCTAAGAAAGCAAATGCTACTGGGTTTAACATAGAACTTCTGACTGAACATGACTTTAAGTCTGAATTAAGAGCACTTAAAGACAGTTATGGTGAAATCTGTGATAGCAGTTTTGATTATATTTCTGTTATGGAGGAGGAAGATGCAAGCGGGTTTGCAGCTGAGATAGCTGAGGTAGAAAAGAAACTACAGGATTGCTGCACACAATACCAGAACACAGAACTGCTATTAAAGGGTGCATCATGGTCACGTTGTGCATCAGTCCAGTTCGATAGACTAAAGGTTGACCTGAAAGAGGTATTTAGTCAAGTGGATGCACTCCTAAAGGGTCTAATGAGCTTTGAAAGAAAAGCGTCTGGACTTCTTTGAGTTGCTTGAAGACGTCTCACCTCTCATCCGAGAGGCTTCTTCAGTTCTAAGGTCAAATGGTGGAGAGTCCCAGATTTAAATCCAGTGGGAGTTTCCCCCCAAAGAGGGAACAAAAGACCCCCTGATGATCTTCTACATAAACACATGAGCCACATGACCCTCCTAAAGGGTCAAATAACTCAAGATCGACATGATTCAGTGCTCACTGCTGTAGAAAGCAGATTAGAAGCACTGGAAGATTTTGTACATAACTGGGAGCGTTGTGTTCCAGAAAAAGAAGTGAATGCCATGCGTACCTATCTCAAGGACATCAAGGAGAAGAGTAGAGTGGCTATGGTGGTACTGGCTACTCACTTGAGAGATGGAAGGAAATCAGAGTGTGGTAACTGTGGGGACCGGTCAGAATGAAGGTGAAGATGCCAAGGTCGATGATACGGATGTGGGAGAAACTACCTTCACTGATGGAGCCAGTGGTCCTGTTGCAGCCGAAGGAGATGGTGGTCCAGCGCAAGTTGATGAGGCGCTAAGGGGAAGCATGAATTCTGCTACGTTCCAAAGTGCTGCAGTAGATAGCAGTAAATAAGACAGTATTATAGGTACAGGTCCTCCCACTGAAACCCTTCAAGCACTGCCACAGGAACTATCAACCCAGGAGCCCATGAACCCAGTTTTTAATCTCAGCATCTCAGGCATACCGCAGCAGCATCGAGGAGTACATGCTGTGCAACCTGATGGTGTCAGGGCAGGACAGAGCACATCTACCTCCTCTCAAGGTTCTTTTGGAACGAGGATTTCGCTCACACCCCTGAGGCTGCCAAAATTCTGTGGAGACTGAAGGAGTTATTGGCACTGGAAGAACAACTGGGGTCCCTCCAAGCATTGGCTGAGCCCACAGGTTTCCCAGAGTGCAGGCTCTTCCACCTGATGGACAGTATCGCTGATTCAGTAAAGCGGGAGCTCAGGCTGTTTCACTGTCGCACAGCGAGGGAGGTTTTTCGGATTTTGGAGGATTGCTATGGGAATGTGTCACAATTAGCAGATGACATTGTACTAGAGCTGCAGGAAATACCAAGTGTGCATAGCAATCAACCTAGAGAGGCTTTGCAGTTGATCCAAGCTGTGGAGAGCGTTGTTGGACCAAATAGACTTAGATTGTGAAGACGCCATAAGAAATCAGTTAGTGATCCGGTCACTTGAGAGTAAGCTGCCGGACAGCATGAAAGAAAGATTGCTCTTATACTGGTGTGATAGTGTCAACAACGTTAATCCACGGAACCGATTTGACAAACTCTGGCAATTCCTAAGAGCTCAGAAAAACAGTTCTGGTTCAACTGGAGCAGTTGCAGGCCTCCAATCAATCTTACCCTGGCAGAGCTGCCGATCTAAAATTCCGTGAGAAGCCAAAAGAAAGGACTGAGCGGAAGCTGGTGAGATGTTCATTCACCAAGACTACTGCAAGCGAAAAGAAAGGTGAGCCCTCACAGAGTCCTTGCAGCATTTGTGGTGAGGGGGGTCATGCAGAGCGTTTATACCACTCTACAACATTCAAAAAAGCCAACCCGTCAGAGCAAAGGGCTTATGTGAAAAGGGCAAAAGTGTGTCCCAGGTGTCTGGACCTTCATGGGAATGAAGACCCATGTAGTAAAAACTTTCTTTGTCTTAATGAGGAGTGCAGAAGAGGTATTCCACATCTGATCACCATTCTGTGTCTTAAGCTCCCAAACAAAAAAGACAATACCAGACACGGAACCAAAGGGGGTAAGAGGAGAGAACCCCGTGGTCCGACAGAAGAACAAGAGGCTCTGTTCGTCGGTCTAGGTCTGTCAACAGAGCAGCTGGAGGGTGTACGGAAGGCTTGCACTAACAAAGCAACTTCGAAGGTGTGTGCTGGTAAAAATTTTATCGATGTTAATGCGCCAAAGGAGCTCCCTGTCCTCATGATGCTGTTGGACATCACCACCAAGAGAGGGGACTGGGTCGGGGCTCTTATCGACTTAGCCTCTGATACCATCTACATCACCCACCAGGCTGCGGATAGGCTTGGTCTGTCTGGTGAACCGATCACCTTAGTTGTGCATGGTGTTGGGGGCATGGAAACAAAGGTCGAGACAAAAAGGTATCTGGTGAGCGTAAAAGTAGCCACAAAGAAAGGGACTTGGCAGCTCCATGAAATTGTCTGCTATGGATTGGAGGCAATCTCAAAAGTGGGTCATGTTGTGACATCAGACCGTCTGGAGAAGTTCTTCCCAGACTTTGTCAATCTGGGTGAGTTGATACACCCAGAAAAGATTGAGCTTCTCATCAGCACTCGGGAAGGCCGTCTTGTTTCCCAAAGGATGAGGTGCGGTGACCTAGTGCTATGGGATGGTCCACTGGGGAAAACTGTCAGTGGTGCTCACCCAGGTCTTCTCGAGGATGTTGAGGTGACTGCGCGGCTTTTGTCAACCCATTTTGCATGCCCCATGAGGACAGAGTCCAAGAGAGTTGAAGCTCCAAATGGTCATTGCCCAAAACCAGAGTGCAGCTTGGAGATTGGGAAACCAGTTACAAGTAATGCTGAGATTGTCAAGTGGCTGCACTGGGACAGCATAGTGGCCCCCTGCAACCCTGTGTGTGGCGGGTGCCGGTGCGGGAAGTGTGCTCTGGAGGGAAAGACATGTCTCTCGCTGATGAGAGAGCTTGAAGTCATCAGGGGAGGTTTAACCTTCAAATTAAGTGACGACCACAGTAATGTAGCGTATTTCTACATACTAGAATCAACACTGTTTGCTATCAGTCGTTAGATTCTGAGAATGATCAAGCACATTAGCATATGAGCTTATATCATGTATAAATATCCAGGATACTTATATAATCGATAGAAGTTCATACACCGACCTGCTTGGTCTATATTTAATCCAAAGTTTAATGTTTAATTTAAGATAATTAAATGTTAATAGCAAAAGTTTATTTATTTAATCAGAAGTTAGGAATCTTTGCTTTTTCAATAACCAGAAATATTTATACCTTTCTGTGTTTCATTTAAAAAATGAGGCAGAGTTTAAAAATGAAGAATTTATTACTAACAATTTTAAACTTGACAATTTGAAACGACAATTTAAATGACAATTAAAAATGACAATTCATGGATGACAATTTACCAGCTTTGATATTAAAATTTGCTTTAAAGGTTTACCTGTGACTGGATAGAATACTAAAATGAAATGAGAGCTTGGATGCGTGAAAAAATTCTCAG